GACATTTTTCCGCTCAACTTTTCTGTATTACATTTTCGCTCCAAACCATTCAACTAATATTTCATTCGTTCCGGTTTTTTTTGGCCTGTACTCTATGTACAAATATGGATTGATTTTGTGTTGGAAAAAAGGAAATTTGTGTAGAAAGAAGAAATTCTTTATATTGAGTAGCGTTCGAAACATAGAAATAGTAAGAAGAATAGTCAAGAAAACCTAATTTTACTAATAAAAATTCAACTATATTCATGAAAAATACGTTGACAATTCCAAAAATAATCAATTATTGATGTCTAACATTTGAAGTGAAAGTACATTTTGTACAGCATTAAATATTTCTTCATTCTATTCAAATTTGTACAATCACCAAGATTACTTAAATTACCCAAATCCCTGTTGCTTGTGTTAGTGACTAAAAACAGTTTATGATTAGTAAACGTCCACCTGAAGGTTTTAGTAAATCGGAATGAGGTTTCGTTATAAATAGTACATATTGCCGTTTTTCTTAGCCCATTAAGTGTTTCGGGGCTAATGTAATAAAACTTACCAAGTATCCAAGTAATACAAGTAATACAATGGGCACATTTCAGAAATGCAAAAAAAGTTTGATATAAAATACTTTTTCTGTTTTTCAATTTCTGAAATGTGTTACAAAAAAGAGCGGAAAAGAAGAGAGAAGAAAAATAATGTATTTATATACACATGAAGAGACACATTTGAACCTGTTTAATAAAGAAGAGATCAATTGAATTGGAATTGATACAAACAATAAACACACTAGGAAACAAATATCGGTATATTCCCTCAAAAACAACAGAAAAGGAAGAGGTATGGGCTTGGGCATACATGAATCGAATTTAGAAAATGTATCATACTAAAAATCAAAATCGTCTCAAACATAAAGAGAATATAAGCAAATGAAGGGATGTAGAACAATGAAACACAAAAATGATTCTAGAAAAGGATAAAGTCGTGAACTCAATCGATGAATTTGAACCAACTGAGAGAGAAGGAGAGAGAGAGAGAGAAAGACTAAGAGAGAGAGAGATGACTTTAAAGAATGGGCGGGAGAAATGAAAGAGACATAAAAACGGGATCAAAACAAGGCTTGAAACAAAACATAATATAAAAAGCATGGATAGACACATATAGTGAAACAATGGAGGAAAAGATTGAACGCAGTTTAGGATCATAGAGTTGACAGACTGTGTGTATGGGCAAAGTTTATATGACTTTTTTTTATTTTGAAGAAAAAATATATCTAGTTTTTGGGTATGTGCGTGTGTGCTTCTAATAATAAATCCGATCTGTTACATTTGAATAATATGAAACATAAAGTCATATTAAAATTATGTCACATAAAATTCTGAACGTAAATTTGAAAAAAAAAAATCTGCTGCGTCACCCTTGTTCTATTGTCTGATTTTTGCACTCTTTTTCATGAAATACATTTTAAAAAAATCAGCTTTTGGGGTTTTTTCTATAGCATTGTGTTGAGTGTGACAGCACCATTGGTATAAAATTTGTATTTGCATAAAGTGTGATTTGTCATTTTATACATTTGCACGACACGTGTAAAAAAAAAAATAGGGAAAATATAATAGTGAAAAAGAAGTAAGTAAAATTTGAGAGGAAAACAGTAATTGCACAATCGTCGTGAATATGTTGTTGTGCCAGCAATAAAATCACATTTACCTGCTGTACCACGATTACATACATCGGTTGGATAATTTCTTCGGCACATATCGAGTCTGTAAGAATTTGTTGGAATAGTTGAGTAAGACAAAAAATTGGTAGCTTTTCAATTTCAATCTTTTTAACACAAAAATAAAAATACGGATTCGAAAACAATGACGAAAAAACCCACAAAATAAGACGAAAGTGAACGACTGTAAGACGGAATTTGGAACGGAGTAATGTCGAAAATGAAGTCATTAAAACAAACAGCAAATACCAACGATGATAATAATATGTGACCGCCAATGTTGAGATATTTTAATCTGATTTTTATCCAAAGCTCTTACAACTAACCTATTTCATCATTCATTTCATTTGGATCAAATTAGAAATATTATGTTTGACATTAGGAAAAAACCAAAGAATTTTTTTTGTTTTTGTTAATTCCAGATTTAAATTTTTTTTAATCTATCTAATCACAATTATTATTTGAAAATTCAATTAAAATTCCACCCAGACTATATATTGTTTTGGCAAAATTCTACGAAAGGTAAATGGTTAATTTTTTTTTTTAGTTAAACCACATAATATTACGTAATCCTAGTTATCGCCGATTCACTTCCGTATGCGATTTTACTGCGTTCGCTCTCGCATATGTTGATTGCACACGGCTAAACTATAACAATTGGGATCATTCATTTATGGAATTCCGTTGTTAGTGCGAACGTTACTTAATAATAAAAAAAAATAATACAAAAGATACATGTAGCACATGAAGCAAATAAAGAAATTGAGAGAGCTGTGACATAAGTTTCTACGTAAGACATTCGATGAAATTGAAACTGAAGTAATCGGAATTTCGATATGGACTGTTGAACTTGACTGCCGACTTTAAATAGGCTTTTTCTTTCTTTTTGCTATAAATATAATTGCATCATAATCAATGATATAATTCAAACGTTTTGGTTGATATTGTTTCATCTAGAGGCAAAAAAGATAATCAATTTTTATATAATTGTTTCATACCATTTACTAACGATTAATGAACTTTGACTTGAAAAACAATATTGTCTGTAGCACCTCTGAATAAATTGGAATTGCTCGATTCGAAATGAATTTGATCAACGATTTTATGGCAAAAAATATTAATATTTTCTCAACTGAAGAATCCATAAAAGTTTAATAAAGTTTATTATTACCATCGCCATCGGGGTAGTGCAACACTAACAATAACATTTTTATCAGAATGTTACTCGCGCTGTATTTGCATCATTGTTGCACATGTCGTAATGAATGTTTTATTTGATCATGAATAAATATCGTTTAAGCAATGAAAAATGACTACCAATGCACTTGAATTATGGCATTTAGTAAAAAAATAAAGCCAATGCTGTTAAGATATTCAACGACTCTTATATGCAAACTAATTTTCCCACTATCTACTATCAGAATTGACAAAAAAACACAACCTATATAAATCAGATGAGCTATTACAGTTGAAAAAAAAAAAACAAATTAAAACCACCAAAAGTTAAACTAAATGCAGATTGTTATTTGCTGATTATTTAGTTTTTATCTCATTTGGGCTTGGAAATTTAGATGGTTACCCGCTGTTCCTTTTGTGCATCGGCCACCTTTTCTTCTGCGACACATATCATACCTGTGTAAGAAATTATCATGATATTTTGTTGCTATCATTTGGACAAACATTTTGGAAATATTTCTTAAATGCATAAATAAATCGGACTTTTAAACTGAGGTGCGCTTTTTGACTCTTCTATGGAAGTAGCGTATGATCTGGATTTCATTTATCTGCTTCAAATAAATTGAAAAAATTCCATTTTTAAGCTGTAGAGTGTACACGCCTCCGTGTGCTTCAAGATGACCAAGAACACTTGCTTCGACGGTTGAAGATAATCTTACGTGAAATACCTTTCAATACTCACAGTGATTGTTCGAATGATAATTTTCCACAACAATTTTTTGCTATTTTGAATGCTCAACACTGGTTCCTAAAGTGATGAGTCTGAACTTACTTTGTTATCGCAACTGCAATATCATAAACTGGTAGTCGACGTTCTCGGAACAGATATTTGCCCATGTCGGTTAAAGCAGCTGCTGAATCGATGGCATCACGACCAACCCGATTTCTTTCTAAATATGGTGTTGCATCTCGACCCTTGTAAATGAATGAAAAATGAAACTTATTTAAAAAAATTTAATACTTTACGTTGAGATGCTTTCCAATTTAAAATATTTTATTATAATGAAAGAAAAAAAATAAAAGAAAAATGTAATTTCTATTGACTAGATCGAGAGGAGAGTAAGTTCATCTGACTTTGTTATGAAAGAGAAGAGTAAGTTTCTTTCGACTCAAAAATGGTTAAAGGCGAGTATGTTCATTTTTGGCGGGTCCTCGCGGTTGTCCACGGTTTCCGCGGAACTGATAAGAGAAAACAACTTGGTGTCTTCGGCAAAGTTGTAGCACTCGAGGTCTTCTATAACATTGCTGGAGTCAGTTATCTCTCATCTCTTATCAGTTCCGCGAAAAGCGCGAAAAATGATAAGAAAAAAAAAGTTCTATATAAAATTTGCTTTTTTATGTGCGCGATTTGCGCGCAACTGATAAGAGATAAGAGATAGATGTCTTCAGCAATGTTATAGAAGACCTCGAGTACTACAACTTTGCCGAAGACATTATGTTGTTATTTTTTATCAGTTCCGCGGAAACCGTGAAAAACCGCTGAGGCTAGACGGGATGCCAACATACTTCCTTTTAACGCAGATAGAATCAACAGAAATCATACTCTCCTCTTTCAAAATATATTAGAATTTTTTCACATACTCTCCTCTCGATCTAGTCAATAGATTTGGGCGAGGGGGAAATCACTTGAAAGTAATTGAAATGTCACAAGTAATTATGATAATAGAAAAGTAATTTTCCCGAAAAAAAAGTAATTGAGGTAGATGTCATCAATAGTTTGGTTATGTCTGTTTGGCATAAACCACATACCCAAAGTATTCTTGGATACATTATCGTAAAATAAAAAATTATCGTTTATAAAATAAAAATGAAGATGAAAAAAGATAGTTTGGTGTGGACTCGATTGCGTTTTTTTCCAAATGCGGCATGACCAAAATGAAATTAGTATAATTTTTCGATATGAGTGTAATGGTTTGTTTAAAACGTTTGTTTGTTGGTTTGACAATGTCGAACTTTGAAATAAACGTCTACTTTCTTTCGTAATTTATTGAAGAAATAGCGTGCCAAAAAGTAATAGAAAAAGTAATTTGATAGTTTTGAAAAGTAATTGAAAAGTAATTCAAAGAGTGATTTTCCCCTCGAATTTGGGCCAATTCTGGTATAAAGTGAGTAGGGCTACCATATAAATATTGCATACGCGATTCGAGTTTTTGAATAAAGCGAAGATTTTAAATGAACGAATCCAAAAATAGGAATGTTGGTGTGACTTTTTTGACTGAAGCGAATAAGCAGTATTGACTAGTTTCATCATATGTTTCACGGAAAGTAAAATTGCGTCATTGATGAAGAGCCTATTTTTTAAGTGATATGGAAAAGGTCATTTCGATGTTATTGATTGCGGCGATCGTTTGAGATTTTTCCGTTTTTTTTATGCGAAACAAGGAATCTCTGAACTTTGAGGAATCTCTTTCAAATGTTCACCGTTTTTTTTTCCTTCAAATGATCGATTCGAATATTTTTCGGTTCAGTTTAATTACACGTTCGTTCAAAAACAGATCTATGCATATTTTTTTCTCTCAAGTTGTCACATAATTTTAATTCAGCTTGGCTGCTACTAGAGTCAAAAAATATATAAATCCATATGTGTGTCATTACATAATCTTTCATGCGATGAAAAACGACTGGCAACACATTGTTGCACAAATGACATTGCTCAGAGTCCATCGTTTTCAGTGAAACAACATCATTTATTAAGTGGATGCACTGAATAAATATCGATGTCAACCAGCAAGAAACAACTGGATGCTCTACTTAGCTCTATTGCGTTTGGATATTTAAATTTTAAACATAAAATATTATTATGAGTATCATAAATTCCACTTTTTGACTACTTCGAATGTTAAGTCATTTTTCGACTTCGTTTGCATAATTCAACACATTCAAATTCACAAGGAAATGAAAAGAATTACATTCATAATTCCACTCTTCCATCCCTTTGTCCATACTTTTCATGAAGAAATGAATATTATTCTGGCTTCCTTTTGTCAGTTTTTATAAATTGAAGACGATAGAGGCAATTGATATAAATGTTTCAAAGTATTTACCAAGTATTCAACGAAAAGTATAATCAACTATGAAAAGATTCGATTGAAATTGTGTACAGCGTGGAAAAACTACACCACTCTATGTTGCATTTTATTTTATTTTATCAAATGAGGTGTTGTCAAATTTAAACTCATATTGCATTAATAACAAATGAAATTGCAATGAAGTGAGGCGTCAAAGTAATTTATTCACTCAATGATTCAAAGTTCATTTTTTCCAATTGCAAACATATAAAAATAAATTTTTACATCAATCGATATTCCGACAGCAATCTGTCTTTGTTTTCTCAATTAATGCACATCCAATTGTCTGACGCTAGTTATCATATTCTTGGTAAATGAATATTTTTGCATGGTATATCATTAATGATTCAGCTCATCAATTTGAGCATATCATCATATAAATGTCGACAGACGTGAAGATCAAGAACAACGAAAACATTAAAATCAGTTTATTTCAGGAAATGTCGACGAATGAATGAAATACCATTTTATTGATTTTATTAACGATACAAGTGTTGTGTGTGTGTGGATTTTTTCTTTCTTGAAAGGCGTTACGCACGTTGAATTAGTTAGCTACTTTTAGACGTATATACTCTGTGGCGATTTTATGTGGTAGAACAATATATTTAATCTACCTTCTTGGCAGGCCACTTCAATCTTGTTTATTGCGTCTTTTGTGTATTGAGATTTGATCAGTGAATTATTTACTTCCGATTCGCAATGAATGAACAAACAAACATCAATACTGTGTCATCGTTCAATGAGTACCATGGTGCGTGTACTGACTGGCCATTTGGAATTGAAGTTCATTGGATTGTCCATTTTCAATGACTTTTGACCAAAGGGATATTGCAACTTTTTTGACCAGAAAAAACGCCATCTTACGTCGTGCCCGTAAATTATTTTACTGTACATTTAGATGGTAGAGCTTGAACAAAAGTTCGACACTATGCATAAACTTGGAAAGAGCTTGATAGACTTGATGAAATACATATATTTTATGGTCCTTGCAATATCCCTATGCTTTTGAATAATTGTATTGCTTTCTCATTTCGAAAACAAAGGGGAAAAAAACAAAATTCGATTGATCATTCGTTGTATTCATCAATTTACGGCAAATCACTCAAAGCCCAATTAAACGTTGTCTTCAAAGTTATTTGCTTATTTTTACACCTTTTTAACCAAGCATTCAAACTCTTCAACACTTTTCTGTTTGGTTTAATGGGCACGATTGACCAAATCAAATTCAATGTCCGTCCGCAAATTTATTGTAGTGAATTGAAAACACATAACCAAATAGGAAATATTGAGAAAAAAAAAACTATCTACACTCATGATGTTGATGATTAATACAAAGCTTTTCCTTATTGCCTACCGATTCACGCGCAATGCGGTATATATTTACCAACTGTACAATTTTTTTTCCTTTTTGCGCTCCAAATTCTTGAGATATTGAACTTATTTTGCTTCTGGTTTTATTTATTTGGTATACAACACCTTTCAACATCGCGCTTCGTTCATCTTTATTTACCTAGTTAATGTAATTCTAATTGCTAATCGCTGAGAAATGCAAAAAAGCTATACTACGTCTCTCGATTATTCAGTTTTACATTGTAAACAAAACACACATATTTTACAACTGGGAACATAAAAAGAAGGTGTATTTTCCCCCATTAGTTTTCCATCTCTCTGCTTGGGAAGAACGTATTAAAATGCGCAAAGTCATTGCGTTTCCTTTAATATTTTAGCAAATGTTATCACGCAACACACCCTCTCCCATTAATGTAATCATCACTACTGGTTATAATGATAATTTGCGAACATTTTCAGGACATAAAAAATGACGGAAGAATTAGAAACTTCGATTTAATAATAACAAAAAAAAAATGCGTAGACTAAACTAAAACAATTAGCCATCTTGATATAAAATGCAACCAAATTGATTTTCACACACAATTTTTTTTTTTTTGAGTTTGATTTCGTAACTCTGAAAGATTTCAAATGCATTGATAAAAATAAAACGGTATTTTGTCGTACTTATAAAGCGCGAAGTGTGGGTGGCCTTGCTGATGTTTGGCATTCACAATATGAAAAATTATTGTTTATTTTTTTCATTTTCTTTTTCAATTGAATAGTTTTCGTTTTTTTCCATTTCGTGGTCACTTTATGAGCATGCATGCGCATAATTGTTTGCACCTCGGTAGTTAATTATTAATTTTTAAAGCATCTCAAATTGACGTGATATGCAATTTGAAACACAATGAAAGAAAGATATAAATACTCAAATAGGCTAACGGTAATGAAATTGTTTGTGTGATTCCATGAATAAATTGTATAAAAGTGTTAGGTTGGAGTGAAACATTGAAGAAAAAAAAAACATATATATACAATGACAGTGAACCGGAATTTGGGGAAAAAATCGTTATTCTTTATATCTCTCTCTCTCTCTCCCTCTTTTTATTATTTCGAAGCAATGTAATAAAATATAAATTACGTGAGGTATCTTTTCTAAATTACATTTCAATTATGCGATATTTTGCTGCGTTTTTATCTTTCTAAAATTGTGCATTCCTACAATTTGAATACGCATGTTTTTGTGTAATTTATTTTTTCTTCTTTTAAGAAACGACAGTGGGTAAATAGTAATTTGGTAAATAATTTCCTGTTCATTTCCAACATTCATGAATAACATATTACAATTTTTCTTTTCAACCTTTCCCAATCTTTTTACAATCTACAGATTGCGTCACAAATGGAAAATATTCGGTGCTAAATTGAAACAGACAATCTTGTTGTGATTTTAAAAAAAATGCTTGTTTGAAATGGTTGAAAATGAAGAAAAATAAAATCATTCAGATATTAAGATAC